AAGCGAGAGGCAACTGGTGGTACGACTGCTTAAGCAGTCGACCAACCTCCCAACCACCCTCGCACGCGAAGGTAAGACGGTATAACCGCTTCCTCGCTTGTGCATAAGGTGTGTGCTCGTAGTACGAGGCAACTTCATAGAAGTGCCCGTCTACAAACCCAATATGTACAATACACATGATCTGATAAGTTATAACCTCCGTTAGTGTCGTCCACCGTACCCATAACTTAAAGGAGGAAGCTCTGTATAATCAAATATAAATCTAACTACTGGTTAATTAATTATGCAAAGATCAGATGCGTCTCTCCTACGTGCGAGCTTAAAATATATTCACGATCGCTGATGACGTCTGTCTGTAGCGTCACCATGACGCCTAGTCCCAACTGGGCGTCATCCCCGTCGAATGTGAATCCATCCATGGATATCATATTCACGAGGGTGGGCCACATTGATGTGCCTCACCCTAGTGGGAGGTAGGCCAATTCCGACTTTTAGAATTAGATAATCGAAGGGACCACGTACCCTTTTAGACCTCCCCGTTTAGTAACATATACTTAACGGACTTGTGTAACTATTAGCTCGTTACACAATGAATTCAATTTTTGTTAAAGCATAAGCGACACATGGAGACGCATAAACACCTTGTTTTTTAAATGTAAACCAAATATGATGAGCTATCGCAGCTATCGCACGCTGCATTTATCGCCCGCGCGCTCTGAAGCCACATTCGAAAAAATGATCTTGTAGTTGCATGACGACTACCTTTAGTTGAGTCAAAAACTGTGAGTAGGTGGAAAAGTGCCTGTCCTAGATTCTCTTTCTATAGTAGTAGGTTGCTCGATAGGCAACCTTGCCACCACGCTAATCAATTGAATCAGGCGCTGCTCAAACAAAAGCTGTCCAAGAAAGATATCAGAGCTCAACAAACCTTATTCACCTTCCAACGCATCTCCATTGGACCCATTTCGTCATTTAAATATTGAGAGCAGGAATGCTCTCATCGCCCTCTATTATGTGCGTATTTTTTCTTGCTCATCGAGTTAAATGATCTGCAGCAACGTGCAATTGTACGTGACTTTCTTCTCGTCGTGACGACGAAGCGCTTGCATTTCTATGCTTAACGTCTCAAAACGCCGCGAAAGGACGCATAATGTAGCCATTATATTACGTGAGACTTTCACTTCCGCAACAAAGCGCAACATAATTATCGTGTCTGTTGCTGAAACGACATAACTCATCCATAATTCCTGGCTATATTACTACGTCAACTTTCATTTACCGGTATACTTAAAATCGTACGGTTCACAACTGTCCCAAGTCTTTATTGCGTATTATACTATACCAATACATGTCCATCCATGACGTTCATCCTTCGTCGCAGTATGTCCTTCATAAACCATACACGTCAATTCAGTAGTTTACGTGAACAAGCTGTTCGTATAATGACTGGCAAGATTCGTGCAGATTTGGAGACAAATCCGAGTCTATGGCTTAGTGCTTCGGCTGTAGTGAGTTGAAAAAACATTTTTTCATCAAGTGTGAAGTCAAGTATTACTAGAAGACGTTACTGATTATCATGAGACCATTTGATTTCTTTGGTATTAGGATGAACCTACTGTCTCCATTTTAGACCCAGCACCTGGTTATGCACTTCCAAGTTCCAAGCAGCTCCATCAGAATCTGAGTCAACACTTTGACTCGTGAGCAACTAAAAAGTTGTATGAACATAACAATGAATAGGACTAAATTGACTTGTTTTTTGTTTATTGTAGACTTAAAACGGATGTGAATGTGCAACCTACTTACCTCTCAAGAGATCCGAGTACATTAGTAGACCCTTTTACGCTCGTGGAGCAGGATATGGTGAGCGTTACGGACAGCATCAAACGAATCTTGGGCTCAGATCATCCCGTTCTGACGGCAGTAGCTCGCTACTTTTTTGAACATGACGGCGGCAAGAAGGTGCGTCCAACTATGGTACTACTAATGGCACGAGCTGCAGAAGCTCATCGTCGTGCTATTGGTACTCCACTGCCGGACACGCAGTCCGAGGAGTACACGCACGCAGCACAGCAGCGACTGGCTGAGATCACGTGCGTTACAATATCTGGATTCTTGACACCTTAATTGATCGGACATTGACCAACCTTTGTTGTTGCTGCAGTGAGATGATCCACACGGCTAGTCTGATGCACGACGACGTCATTGACGAGGCCGATACACGCCGTGGTCGTCCATCCGTGAACAAGATATTTGGGGCCAAGATGGCTGTGCTGGCCGGTGACTTCCTGCTGGCACGTTCGTCAGTGTCGTTGGCTCGCCTGCGCAACTTGGAAGCCATTGAACTGATGTCTACAACGATTGAGCATTTAGTACGAGGTGAGGTCATGCAGATGAAGAACGCCGACGCTCATGGCGACATCTCTCCGTTCGAGTACTACCTGCGCAAGAATTATTACAAGACAGGTTCCCTCATGTCCAACAGTTGTAAGGCCGCGCTCGCGCTAGGCAAGCACGAAAATCACATTTGCGAACTGGGTTTTGCATTTGGTCGCCACATTGGTCTTGCCTTTCAGGTAATACAACACCTGTCACGACATCGTTGGAATGCTATCGACATGTCTGGAAGCTATTGTTTAACCTTGTCGGTTTTGGCGGAAGCCGCATAAGCTAACGCTGTGGTGTTCCAATGTCTTTGACAGTTGATAGACGATGTGCTGGATTATGAGGGTGTGAACACAGGTAAGCCGTTGCTAGCCGACCTTAGATCTGGTCTGTCCACGGCTCCACTGCTGCTCGCACAAGAGGAATTTCCGGTTCTGCGTGAGCTATCCAAGCGAAACTTTGCCAAGGACGGCGACATCGAGATGGTTTGTGGACAGTAAAGCATTGGTGGATACCGCTGCGTAACTAACGGTGTTTTGTCTTGCTTCGCAGGCCAGTGAGCTGGTGGAGAAGAGTACAGGTATCGCACGATCCAAAGCATTGGCCATTGGCCAAGCAGAGTTAGCAGCACAAGTAGTCATGCAACTTGCTCCTTCACCCGAGCGGGATGCCATGGTGCGACTGGCACAGCTGGTGGTGTTCCGATCCAAATAGATACACTCAGAAAGCTGTTGACACGAGTAATGGATAATAAGTTGACAGGATCCGACGATATTTGTTTAGACGAAGAGATGGCCTCGATTTCCATGCCATTCGGTCATTGACTTGTTCGACCGTTGTTTAACGATGTCCAACCGGTTGATTTGGCTGACCATCTCGTTGTCGTGTATCGGTTAGGTGGTGTTTAAAAAAAAGTCAACGGGGGTGAGAACAAAGAAGACCCTCGTCGCAAAATAAAAGCAATGTCCCGTGGCCAATCTCCTATTTGCCAAGACGTCGAAGCAAGCATGGGTATTCAGCTGCGTAAGCTGATGCGCTCTCGCGTTATCGTAGTATTTGGTACAACCAGCCGTATTGGTCGCGCGGCGTTAGAAGTATTGGCCGCACAAGACCAAGTTTCGGTGGCTCTCGTGGCGGCAGTTGAAAGCCCAAAAGATTCACGAGTGCAGCGGTTAAAGTCCGCGACAAACTGTTTTGTCGTGCAGTGTGATTTTGCTCAAGGTGGAGAGGACTCACTTCGTCGTGCTGTGCGCAACGCGGACGCCGTACTCCTTGTCCCTGCACTATCAGAGAGTGGAGTGCGTTTTTCGAGGCGTGTCATCGAAGCTGCAGCAGCAGAGCAGGTGTCTCGGCTTGTTGTGATCAGCAGCATCTTGGCATCGCCGGAATTATTAGGGCGCTGTCGTCAAGAGCACGCAAACGAAAGACCAGCAACTGAAGCTGTCGGTTCAACCCCTACTCATGTTGCCGCGCTGGAGGGCTACGAGGCAGTAGAGGCTCATGCAAGAAACTTGCTTCCCGAGCAAGGTCGTTGTGTGTTTTTGCGAATTCCTCTTCTCATGGAGACGCTGCTTTATTGTCGTGATGAGCTGCTATTCGCCAACCGGTTCATCGGGTGCTTCCAGCCAGACACGCATGTGCCTTGCATTTCGGTCCGTGATGTCGGATATGCAGCTGCCGAGGTGCTGGCAAACCCAAAGCGGAAGTACGAGTTGGTATATCGATTGACTGGTGGGATCACTGCAAGCTGCAGCCCAAATGAAATAGTTCATTCCCTCACGGGGCATCTTGGGCGAGAGATAAAGTACCGCAAATTGAGCGACGCGGACTTCCTCCGTGCAATGAAGGAGAAGAATACCCCGGATCAAGTAGCTCAAGGCACTGTTGGACTTCGAATATTTTTGGAAGAGCGTGAGGCGGGTGGAGAAGAAGCGAATAGTAATCATGAAAAGGTGACGAGTCAGACTCAACAGGAGGAACACCGCTCGCTTCATCTACCGGAAGCGTTTCACAGTACAAGCGACTTCCGACTGCTTACAAAGCGTAATCGAAAGACCCCCCGACAATGGCTACAGCGGCATGCGGTTTCGTTGTTCGCGCGCACGCCGCAAAACCAAGTACAATTGTTTGTTGTGGGCTCGGGCGAGGCCCTGTTTCTCGAGGTGAGCAAGTTCGTGGCGAGCCAGATTACGGCACCGTCGACGCTTCCACCGCGGGATATTGGCGAAAGCGCCATTCCAACGGTTCTTCCTGGTCGCCACAGTCAACGAGGAGTTAATAAAAGCCTTGAGCAGGCCAAAGTTACACTGTGCACTGTCAAGGCAGCTCCGGGGAGTACCGAGAGAAGACGATCTTCAGGGGTACCAGCGCCACCAACTGTGTACCAGCTCGAGGGAGCTCCGCCGTATCCCATGGCAGACTTGTTAACGCAGCTTTCGTCATTGGATGTTGTGCTGCTCATTCCCCCGCTCCGACTTGGTAGCAGAGCTTGCCTTGATGTGGTACGTGCCGTGGTTTGGGCTGCCGTGCGTGCAAATGCCTGGGGTGTGGTGCTAGTAAGCTCGATTTTTGTGGGTTCCCCCACGTCCCAGCAAAGCGTAATTCTTGACCAACTCGAGGAAATCGAGAACTGCGTCAAGTCGTCAGGAGTCTCGTACACGATCATGCGGCTCCCGTTGTTCATGGAGTATTTGTTGGCACTTACGCATTGCGAGGAAGGCAGCGAGGGTCTGGGCAGTCTGGAAGAGGAAAAACGGGAAGTGCCGCCCGTCGATGAAGCTGGATTCGAATCAGAGCCGAAGGGCGAAACTCCTCGTGAAGTGGAGACAGGAGAAACCATGGCGACGATGCCGTCTCCCCCCTCGCATATCATGTGGCCGCTGCTCGAGTCATCGCTTGCGTCTGCACGAGTCTACTTGATGTCTCTCGAGGACGCAGCGAAGGCTCTGGTGGCCGCTGCTTTCACGTTTCCACTGCATCGAGGGAAGACAAAAGAGCTCTACACCGCAAGCGTAACGATGACAGAAGTGCAGCGTATTCTGCAACGCCACGCAAACAAGGCTCGCCCAGTGCGGTTGAGCCGCGTGGATGCTCTGGGAGAGCAACATGGTCGTGAATTTTGGCGTGTAGCATACTGGCCTCGTGCGCACACGCAGCAGTTCCTTGAATGTGCTGTGGAATTTGCGAAGGACGTGCAAACTGCTGCCGAGACTGCAGCTGCTGTTGGAGGCCGCGTTGACACTAGTGCGATGGTGTTGCCTGTGTCGCAAAGCTTCGAAGACCTCACCGACATTCCACCAGTACCTTTGGATCAGTGGGCTGAAGCCAATTCCAAGCGCTATACGCAAGTGCTTGCTGCTTACTGAGGAGCCTACGACTCACCCGATTCATTTTGCTGTGCTGGCCCGTGTGACGTCTATCTATCGATTGCAACGTTCACCGTTTAGTACCATCTAATCAGCGCAATTTGTTTTGTTTTCATGTACACGTTGTTGATTAAGAGAACCTTTACCAATTAATCCAAGATTCTCTTCCAGGCCGTCACAGTCTCCGCTACAACCCGAGCTTCGGTAGCACTTTCCTGAATAAACATAGGCACCTCCGCAGTCGCTAACAACTCGAATTTGTCTTCTAGTACCGCGAGCGTCGCTTCATCGCTGGGAACCACTACCAAAACTTCACCGCAATTCACTTGGTGTCTCAGCTTGGCGGCAGCTACCGTGCCTTCACGAGTACAAAGACACTCGCCTGCCACCTTGCGAGTCGACGAAGCTACAAACGTTTTAAGCGCTTTCTCACTCTGCCGACGAAGGTTCTTGAAAAGACCTTCGCAGCTCATTCCAGGCCTCTCATCCTGCATCTTGAGACTAGCCTCTGACACCACAACGCGTTCACTAGAGCGAAATGGATCACCGTTCACATACGGTGGTGGAGCATTCACGTCAGTGGTCGCCAACGTGATGGCGCCTTCATCATCCACCTTTTGTTCCACAACACGGAAACCTGCGTGCTGGAAGAAGTGAGGCCGGAAGTGGTAACGCGCAAACTTGGATGCACCATTACCGCCGGCACTAGCAAAAGATCCACCCATAATAACATGGTGCTCGCCGTCGAAACATGGCTCACTGAAATCGTCGTAGTAAGGGTGGACGCGAAATCCAGGCAGAGCTGAAAACATGTCTTCACACCACTCCCAAGCGTTGCCAAACACATCGTGGAAGCCTCGAGTCGTGGGCGGCATGGCGTCCACGGGCGAAAGCGACAAATAAGACCAGTTAAGGTTCTTGCCCATGGCTGCAGCCATGCTGACGTCTTCCGGCAGCGTCAAAATGTCGTCCGACGTCACATCGGCTGAGCGGTCCTTCGCATCACGCATCAATTGGTGAATGGGCTCCGTCGTGAGGTGGTAGAAAACCTTCTTGTCCGTTTGCTGGGCTTGCTTCCACTTGCAGAATGCCTTTGCTTCGTGCAGGTTCACCTGAGCAGGCCAGCTCCATGGCATAGGCACGACATCAAACATCACACGCAGCTTGTATCGGTTGCTTCCCGAGGGTCCATCTTGCATCCAAAAGGCCGGCCACTTCGTGTTACGGAAGCAGCGCCACTCCCAGCCAAGATCGCTCCAATACGAAGGGTCAAGGTAGCCTCCGTCACGCACAAAGTCGTAGAACTCGCCATTAGAGACGAGGAATTTCGTCGCACGGCATGCAGGCACTTTCACCTCGCGGTGGCCGTATTCGTTGTCCCACCCAAACGACGGAAAGTCACGGGGCTTGCCAATTTGCACCTTTGAGGCTGGCACGTCCACAAACTCATTTTCCGGGTAGTCCACGCCAGCAACTGGACGCAGCGCAACTTTCTTGTTGTCGTAGGTCACAGAGTCATGGTAGTCGGGCAGCAATGAAGTGCTCTGGAAAAACTCGACGGGGTGCTCGAGCATGAGCATGGAGGACGTCTCGTGATGAATGCGTTCATGTTCGAGCGCCATCTGCAGTGCCCATAGCGGACTGTCCTCGGTGATCTGCTCGTGACCGGGCTCGAGGCCCGGGTGCGTCTCTACAACACTGCGAATGAGCTGGTAGACCTGACGACGGTAAGCCAACACGTCTGCCACGTGAGGCCACTGCATCTCGTTCTTGCTCATGTCATCCCAACGCATCTCATCCACTCCTACCTCGAAAATATGTTCGAAGAAGGGGTTTACCGGCTCTTGAATGAGCCCCGACACGAGAAACTTGTTGACGAAAAAAGTCGTCGGATGGCCGTAGTAAAAGATGAGCGGGTGACGCAGTTGGTGTGGCGGTGGCGTCATGAAGGCACGCTCGCCCTGCAATGTAGCAAACAACGCGTCGGTCATTGCCCACACATTGTCCAAGTAGTCAAGTATCTCTTGGCGCGAGCACGACCGAAGGTCCGGCATCTTGACGGCGTGTAGGCGGCCGGACGTACGGTCGATGCCTGGAAACGTCGGGTCTGTGCGTGGACAGCGCGTAGTAGTAAACCAGTCATCGGCACGCTCACCAAAGAGAAAACTGTCATCGACGTCATGATCCTCGTCGTGTACGCTGGTGGCAGAGGTGGTGAAGGTGGAAGATTGGTTCGACGTTGGAGCTTTCGAGTGCACCGATCGATTGGTACAGGGCAAAGACAAGACCGACAATTGAAAGGTTGATAGTGACTGCAAAGGTGAGAAGAAACAATGCGAAAGACGCCGAGTTACGGAGGTCGTCCATGTAGACGATGACAAGTCGCGTGTGACACACGACAGGACGTGAGCCAAACGTAAAGGCCGTTTGCTTGCGGTTGGAAAGCGACGAGGAAAGCTAGTAATGGCCAACATGGTACGATAATGACTAGCTGAAGGAAAGTCGTGATGAAGACAAGACAAATGGAAGAACAAGAATCAATGCACTTGAGTGGTTGACGGACGATTGCAAAGTGAATTTCAATGTAGTTCTGTTCCATACTGACAAAGTTTAGATAATTATTCCGTGATTGCAATTTCGAAGCGTAGGACGTCGCCCAGTACAAATCCCATGGCAAGGAATGTTGTTACCCCGCAACGTTTTGAGCGCATAAACTACAATCGAACTCTTATAACCACAGACTAAAGTAGTGTAAAACCTATTGTTTGCAAAAGTTCTGTTGTAGCCTTCTCTTCGTCCGATCAGTATACTCTAAAAAACTGTATGAGTAGTATGACGTAATTTTTAGTAGTATAAGAATGTTTGCGATTACGTATACGGTAGAGCTCGTGTCAAGCTTTGTATGTGGTGGTAGAAACAGGCTGTAGAAAGTTTCTAAAAAGTCCGTAGCCATTCAAGTCCCCCAAGAGATGTCACCTATTTGTAACGAGAGCTATATAGTGCCGGTTGCTAGTTGACGATGGTCTTTTGGAACATTTCCGTTGCTAGGCGGAGGTAGACGCCATTGTTTCCATCCCTATCTCTTCGTGGTGCATTAATAACAACCGCTTAGAGTTGGCGAAAGAAGGACTTGTTTGACTTCCGCTACCTCTTGCTTCGTGGACGCACTTTCCTGGTTATGGATACTTCGGCTCCGCTGAATCCAGAGCGTAGTTACACAGACGGAGCAAGCTATCCACCATATTCTTTTCCAAGCCCGGCCTACGATGTCAGCGTTGTCTAGGAACACGTGCGTGATAGCAGCCTGTACTCTCGGAGGTAGCTCCGGTACCGAATGCCTTAATACTGCTTGTTTGTACAAGACCATTCAAGCGGATGATACCTCTTATCGCGTCCACTGCGTAATGATGTATGCTCAAGACTAGGTCGTTTTTGTATGACAAGCTTCATGTGATGCAATTGAGCATACAAGCTCTCCACCGACTACACAAGACGAAAGACAACTGTTGGAGCTGTACAAGCTGCCAGAGAAACCGAGTATGTCGTGCGTCAAGGACCGGCTCACTGGTAGAGGAGATTGAAAAGACAGATAGATGCCCTGATGATATTAAGAAACAAATAGAGCCAACAAAGCACTTTGTTTAAAAACATGTATTTCGTGGGATTATTATCGTAGATTCGCGAGCCGGTAAGTTTGTTGCGGATGATTGCAACATGAAGGTGTTTGCTATAAACTCATTATACTCAAAAATTGAGGCAGCTGCTCGTAAGTGTGTTTTATAGCCATTATGTATATAAATCGAAAGGTGGACGCTGAGGGCGACATTCTGCTACTGTGAAATTTAAATTTAGCGAAAGATTGAAAATTTTGATTGGATGACAAAAGGTGAATACTCTAGTAAAGTGATTAGCTCAAATACGCAACTCAATGGAAGACCAGCAGAAGCCTCCGTCCTTCTCAAATTTGCCCAAGAGCGCTTGTACGTTAATGTTCTTTGTCACTTACTTCGGGGTGTACAATTGTAACTTGCTGGTTGTCTCAATATTGTAACAGTGTTCTCCAGACTGGAAGCGTTTCTGCCCGTGATGGCAGAAGAGAACAAGAAACTGCGTGAGGCGGTAGCATCGGGAAAAGGCGACAAGCACAACATCGAAGTGGAAGAAGACGAGGAGAATGGCGGCGAACAGGAAGATGATGCTGTGGCTGAAGACGGCGAGAAGAAGGAGGATCACAAGGTTCCAGTGATTGAAATGGTGCAATTTTTTACAGTCTGCTGCATCCACTTGACTTTGTTTTTAATTATTGCAACATTGCTGCTCTGTTACAAACAGAACTTTGCACTAGGGACGATGGATGAGAACACCAGTGATGGTGAGGGCTCGAATGCTATCAACCAGGAGGCACTGATTAAGGGTGCAACAAGCGCTAAATTAATTGGTGCCAATGCAGAATCAACGCAGCAGCAAGACAAGTCGTCGTTCCGGATGCAGCTTGAGAGACCCAGCAACAAGCCACGCCCTGTTATCCAGGAACTAAGTTGAAGCAAGTCGTGACGTTAGTTAAGGATATTTTACTAATAATACCACGAATGATTCACTGAAAAAAATATCTTCCATGTTTCGAGGTCTATAATGACTTTGTCACTAAGAAAAAAACGCCTACTTTTGTCAACAGCGTACGACACACGAAATAAATTACCAGTCACAAGCTTATGTTCGTTTCGCATGTATGATTTTGTATGTAGTAGTGACTATCACCAGGTTACGCTCGTGAGAGGTTTTTCATTGTATTTCCTGTCGTGTGGTCTGGTTTTGCGTGGCCTTAGAAACGAGGGGCTCCGGGTGATTCATACCACTAGCAGTCTTCAAATAGCTACAATTACTAGCCAAAGTCTGACGTTCAGCAACATGTTCTACCAACTCTCACAGAAATTTTCCAAGGGCAGCACGATCGCCATCATCATCCCGACCATCATCGCCGTGTCGTATTCTACCTTTGCCTTCTTCCGCTATACTGGTACGCAGCTCTAGGGCTCCCTCCCCCTCTTTTGTCGTCTACACTAGTTAATTCCTCACTGCTATCGCTCTAATTCACAGGCCCGGACCTCGGAGGGAATTTGCCTGGCTCGCCCAAGACCACGTCGGCCGAGTGGCAAGCGGCCTCTGTGGAATATGGCAAGGCACAGAAAGCCAATCCTATTCGTCACTTCAAGGACTAAGTACAGCAGATAGAAGCAGTTGACTGTCTATCTGATAGGACGTTTCTTCTGTAATTATTGGCCGCGGGGCTAGCGTGGGGGAGTCAGCCAGCAAGCTTGGACCATGCTGCAATTGGTCGACCGCAGACGCACTCGTCTTTCCCCGCGTCTTCTGCATTTTTAGCTCTCATACATAGAAAACAAACAGAATAATATCAATCACGGTTCTGCAAAAGGAGGAGGATCAAGTTGCCTGTCATTATGTAATACATGAAGTAGCTTACTTGTGTATGTTTCTCCTATTGACAAAGGTGCATCGTGGCCGACGAGTACTAGCAGCAATACTCTGACTAGCAAATTACTAATTATCTCGTTGATATTCCCTAGATGCAAGCACGGAATGGACATACATTTAGTAGGCAAGCATTCAGTAGCAACGAAAAAACGACAGCCTGTGGCGGACTACGTACCAGCTCCGCGACTTGCGCTTTGCGCTTAGCCTCAGCAGCGTCCCAACCATCCATAGCACGCTGACGTTGTCTCATCTCCGCTTCCTCCTCGTCCTTGAGTTGCTGCTCGTCCTCATCGTCACGAAAGCCGTAATAGTCAGGCTCAATGTGTTTGTACATGTCTTGTCGTGTGCGTTTGCGAGGCTCACGCTCCTCTTTCTGGAAAAGTTCGCGTACACCGGGGAGATCCTTTGCAGCTCCAAAGTATTTGTAGCCTCGTGCACCGCTCACAGTAGCTCCATCTGCATCATACGTCTGTGGCTGCGAGCGCCCATAGTCCGTTCCACCCAATTGCACAATCCGCCGTTCCCAGTGCCGCTTCTCACAAATGCGCTTATTAATCTCGTCGTTCAGGTCTCGTACCACGTGCTCACTCGAGCCAGCTATAAAGAAGTTCAAAGCAGCGTCAAACGAGCCATTATCCACTCGCATTGAGACAACATACGCACCATTTTGAATATCTGACACCTTTTTAGAGATCTCACGTATAATTTGTCGTCGCCAGCGCTCGGCATCTTTAAGGTTGTCGCATTGGGACGCTCGATATGGCCGTCGACTGAAAAAGATTCAACACAAAAAAGTGAGACGATTCGTACGCAACTATATTGAGAATACATGTGTATATACACAATACGCACTTTTTAAAAGTATCACCAAAGTCTTGTTTCATGCTTGTCCATCGATTCAGCAGCGACTGCGCTTTCTCCTCATTGCGCGCCATTCTGACAGGTAGACTGTAGTAGTAGTACGTCAATGAAAAAACGATTGCTCGTACGTGGCCCACACCAGACAGAATGTGGCCCACATTGCTTACTAGTGAGTGTGGCTTACATTGCTTGCTAGCGTGGTCCACCGTAATGGGTCTTTGGGGCCTCACATAAAAGCCTCTCTCTCGCTCAGACATGGTGGGGCTATGGACCACGACGACTCGTGCACTCCTACGGCGCCGTGGCTTGACGCGTCTGGTATCGACGCAGACATCAAAACCAGAGACATCTTTCTATGATTTAGTGGTGATTGGTAGTGGACCATCTGCGACGCAATGTGCGCTTGAATCGGCCAAGCAAGGCAAACGCGTAGCCATTGTCGACAAGAAGACGCGTTTGGGCGGTGTGTGTGTACACACGGGTACAATACCATCAAAAACGTTTCGGGAGGCGGTACTTCACTTGTCTGGCTATCGTCATCATGGTTTTTATGGTAAATCATACAGTATGAAGACGGTTACGATTCAGGACATTCTGTATCGTGTACAGCGTGTCGTGAGCTCGGAAGAAGACGTGGTGCGTGCACAGCTCAAGGCCGCTCGTGTGGACGTCATTCCTGGTTTTGCACGCTTTGAAAATGAGCATGAGATTTCAATTGTAAGAGAAGACGATGACACATCTGAGACGAGTCAGTGCAGCAATGTAGACGCGCTTTCTCGCGTTAAAGCCGACAAATTTCTTATTGCATGTGGTACGCGGCCTGCCCATAGCCCGCTCGTGCCTATTGACGGAAAAGTTGTGATTGACAGCGACCAGATTCTCAGTCGTGACATACATCAATTGCCACGCTCGCTCATTGTCGTGGGTGCTGGCGTTATCGGCATAGAGTACGCGTCCATGATAAATGTGGTACCTGGCCACTCAGTCACGGTGGTCGATGGACGCCCAGATGTAAGTGTAGATAGGAGAAACGAAAACTGTTTGTAGCTCGTGCTGCCGTGCTCTTGTGTAGATTAACTAGTGGGTTGGTTTTTCGTGTGCAGATCTTGTCCTTCTGTGACCACGAGATCATCAGTAACCTCACGTACGAGATGCAAAGCAATGGTGCACGCTTCCTGCTTGGCGAGACTGTCAAAAAAGTCGAGGTAACTTTCGATTTTCTACTTGTGGGTGAGATACAAGGATTTATGTGCTAATCGTGGCTATGTTACTACTATCAGACGACGGAAAAGCGAGTGAAAGTTTTCTTCAATAGTGGCAAGGTGCTCAGTGCAGACGCTCTCCTGTACACGGTGGGTCGTCAGGCGAGCACGGACGGACTAAACCTGGAGGCAGTAGGGCTTGCGCGTAATCATCGTGGTCTTATTAATGTGAACAAGAACTACCAGACGGACCAGCCTCACATGTAAGATCAAGATACTTATTTTCTTGGGCGATGCACATGTACTTAAATGTTCTTTTCCCTCGTTCTAGCTATGCCGCAGGTGATTGCATCGGCGCGCCGGCGCTTGCGTCCACAAGTATGGAGCAGGGTCGCCTGGCATCGTGCCACATGTGGAACCCAGACGAGGAACTCGCCGCAACGAGTCAGCTAGAGAATGGTAATTACCCGTATGGCATCTACACGATTCCAGAAATCTCGATGGTGGGCTTGACGGAGCAGCAGCTTACGAAAGATTGTATGAACTACGAAATTGGTTTAGCAAAGTACTCGGAACTTGCAAAGGGCCAGATGATGGGCGCAATAGCTGGTGGCACCCTGAAGATCTTGTTTGATCCCGACACCCTCAAATTGCTTGGTGTGCACGCCATTGGAGAAGGCGCCACAGAGATCATTCACATTGGACAGGTCGCTATGGCCATGGGTTGCTCACTGACGTATTTCCGCGATGCTGTATTCAACTACCCAACACTGGCGGAAGCCTACCGCGTCGCTGCCTTGAACGGATTGGGTCGTCTCAGTCGTCACACCGAAGAGCACTAATCTTCAAATCATGTTGATGGTGGATGCAGATGAAGTAGCTATCAACCTGGTTGATAAGGCATGCATGGCTGGGGCGTTAAATATGTGCAAAACAAATAAATGGGAATGCTCTAGCGGCAAAAGGGTTTCCAACAGCGTAGTGTAATGATGTTGTTATCTTCATAAATCCTCGCAGGGGAAGTGTCGTCTAACGCAAACACGTCCGATGGCTGCACATCTATACCCTGACTTGAGGCAATGTAATCGATTAGCATTGCTCCAAAGCTTCCGAATCGCAACTGATATAAGGCGGCAAACCATAGAAAAGTGAGCATCTCCAAAAACTCATTTGCACTACAGGAAGTTGCTTACTCAGTCGCCTCTAGGTAAACTACATGAGATATCACACACAAGCCGGACGATAGACAGCGCCGATGGACCCAATGTTTGCTGTACCCAGCGAGTTTACAACTTGCCTCTTCCGGACACAGTTCTTCAGCATCACAATGCAAAATCATCGGACATGCAACATCCACATTAACTCAATAAAAAGTGCGTCCAAAACGACCAACGGAGAACGTAAAAAAAGCCCGAGGACATCGCTCTGCTCGAAAAGAAGCTGGAAATGCGATCGAAATTACGTTGGTCCCGCCCCATAACCCTTCCACGTCGCCATCCTCAGTCTTTTCGCTAGCAGCTATATCAGCACCTCTTGTAAAGTATCATGATACCGGAGACCATCGATGACAAGTGAGGCCTTCCATCACACCAACAGATAACCAAAGCATTAATATTCCAGTCGCATCTCGTCACGGTCTTTATGAAAATCATTCGTGGACTAGTGGCTCCACATATCTCAACAAGCCAACCACATGATCCTTAACAAGCTCTTCTAGCCGTCTCAAGGCCAGCACAGGCTGTAAAGGAACACAATAGCTCTCTTTGGTGTTAACAGCATTCGCGTTTGGATGTACGGCAGGCTTTGAGTCGACAGATGGTCCTTATTAAAAATTTAAGCTTCAGCTTCGAAGAATAAGCATGGAATTTTCCTCTAGAATGCTGAAGAACAAGAGACTATCCACTTTGGTGATATCGCTACTTAGCAGAAGCGACATTTATTGATAGTGATGAGAGACGTGGAGCTCATCATCGTAGGACTAAACAAATCGCTTTTCTAGCACCTTTTTCCTCTGGTTACGGTATCGATCGGTATTATCCGGGACGCCACATAAGTCATTGCGTACAATTTCTATGGTAACTTGCACGCCGAACGAGAGCGAAATTGGAATACAGGCGGTTACTCCGGCCTGGAAAATGTCATGAAATTGGAAGCGAAATCAAAGTCGATTCTTGTCGTTGGAAATAGCGCAATCCTAGGACAAGTAAATAAATATCGCTCTATCTTTAATAAAATTCGCTCGAATATAGTGCGATAACTTCTTTTCTAATTGGGTCCACTTTATTTAAACGTACTCTATCTATTTCTAAGATAACTGTAATACAGTGACTAAAACTTCGTGTGCCATGGAGGACGAGCTAATTGCGCAGCGCGATGCAGCCATTGCCGTAACAAAAGAGCTGCAACGGCAGTTACAGACTCACCGAGAGGAGATGGAAAGAACCTTCGAACGTCGCACACTTAACGCGGAACGGCTGCGTCTCCACGCCGAAGAGAAATTACGTCGCGCTATCGAAGACCGCGATTGGAGCGAGAGTTGCTGCCATCGACTACTGGCTTTGGCACTATTCCTAGGCTGTGGTGGCGCTGTTATTGGCTGGGCCGTGGGATTATTAGTACTGCTGGCGGTAGGTGAGCCACTCGTGGGGTTTCTACTGGTGCTGCCAGGGATGGCGTTGGGGACGTTGATGGGGCTGGCGATTGCCAAGACAAAGACTCAATGGGAAAGCAGACGCCGAGACGCCAAGAACAGAGAAGACAAACGTCATTCGGAAGTGGAAATGGCTGTCAGCACTGGAGTACGGGGGCAGGACTTGCCGTTGGAACCATTGGAGAATGTTCCTGGTATGCAGGACGTTGCAGAGAAGAACTCAAGACAGGCAGCGCATAACTGGAGAAGAGAGGCAGCAGAGGAAAAGCAGCCTACTGTAGGATCTAGATCGCTGCTCAGCATGGGCTGGAATGCGACGTGGTTCACGTTGCATACATTAAAGGACATTACAGTGGGGCTGTATTATGGTGGATACTTGCACATACCTGAGGATACGAAAAAGAGGGAGTAACTCACTCGTCCAAGTCTACAGGATGTCCATGCTACAACTGACAAGGCAACGCAACCGTAACTAAGCAGCACCAAAAACTCGTGCTTTTCTCGTCGTGCTATTTAGTATTATGAAATGAATTTAAAAAGACATCGCCAGTGCTGTTCGTTAACAGCACGTCTACGCCGTTGCCAACACCTCCATAAGTAAGAATATCCAATTGGTTATACATGTAGCGGTGCTAGATACTTGCTCCGTGTACATGCTAATACCGTACAATTACGGTTCTATAAGCTCTCGTGGCCAGCGTCGATACATCGTTTCGCTGACTCACGGTCCGTGCCTTGTTCTGCTAGAGACGCTGCGTCATTGCAATAGAGCCAGCATTCAGGAGCCCTGACAACGAGGCTATAGAAGCGAGGGTGAGGACTTCTCACCAACGAGACATGTCCTGATAAGCTGAGCCTTTCGTAATACAATTTGCACTGCTGCACGAAAGGATCTCGCTCTCTTGGATAAACCAAAACGAGACAGAGAGGCAGACGAGTCTATTTAGCCTTTAGTGGTTGCAGGATGTTCGGTAGATCTGGAGCCTGGTTAGCAACGTCGAATCCTCGTTCGAGATCGGTGGTTGTACGGGGCTTGTCACCTGCGATGACGGCTCTCGAAATTGTATGGCTATGGCACATTGACATAGCATCAGACGGGTTCCTTGAATTTTCGTGTGTGTTCGTCGGTACTCTCGCTTCGCGACTGCGCGAAGTTGCCTCATACGGGTCTCCCAAAATGCCTAGGATGAACCAAAAAAGAGCACAGGGCAGAATGTGCTGAGCCAAGTAATCAACGCCAATGTCTCTTCTCACTTCCCCCCCCACTGTGAGTGTAATAGCGGCACGGAGACAACAACAGACAGCCCAGCATCGCGTGTTATCAATCCATTCAGGAATGCCTCAAGGATTGACAAAACGTACACGCGACAACTCTTGCGTTCGATTGTACAGCGAATTACTTGATCGGGATCTTTCTAGATTGTCGCCACGATTGGCGATCGCCGTAGAGAGTGAGAGCTTCACGCTGGCGCATGACTATGCAAACTCGTAACACAGAAGGATGCTGGCGTCGCCATGTAGGCAGATTGGTTCTCTGTAATTTTAATATCTATGTTACTACCCACCATATGGGGCACTTCTTCGAAGCTTGTCATGCGTGTTGATGGCGAGTTGATCCGACCTTGTTCAGCTGTCATCAAAGCAGATGGTGCCTGTGGTTCAGAGCTGTCGACGCGAATGCGATGCAACACTTACACACAATGTACTTCCCGCAAAAGGTGCGCGAAGGAAAAAGTGACAGGTAATGGATCGAAATAGGTTATATTGTACAATCTTATCTACAGGACCAGTCCTTCCTCCTCCTAAGCCGCTGTAGAAGACCTCATTCTTCCTGCTATCTTGCTCTGCTGATCTCTGCTCGATAGACTCACTTGCTCATGCATTACGTAGTTCCTACATGTGGAGGTATCTTATCTCTCGTTCACCGTCGACAAATTACACCGCCAGGTCACTAATGCTAGAAGGACTGGTCTCCTTATGCATTGCCTGCTTGACCTCATTCATGTAGCTGCCACCGCTGGGGTTCATAAAGTCGGACGAAATCTCAAATGGCACAAAGCTGAATTCGATGGCAGTCACGACATTATCGTCGTTCGTGAGAACAGACGCCATTAGCGTGATCGTAGCAATGTTGTTACCCGCCCCCTGCGCCTGTACAATGGCGCTAATCGGCTTCATGCTGCTGCTGACCGACTGCACGACAGCGTTAAGCTTATTGTTGTCCAGACAAAGACTAGCACGTAACGTGTTGCCATCCATGAGATTGTCTTTGGTCAAGCCGGTCTGCGATAGGAAGGCCGAGTTGACAGCCAAAAGGTGCATGCTCTGGTCCACAACAAGACGCGGCGTCGACGACTGGTCAAAGCAGCGCTTAAAAACAGCATCCATTGGACCACCACTTTGTGCCTGGAATCGAAAGCTGTCCGCCTGTTTCTCGGCACTTTCGGCTTTCTGCTTTGCAATCAGGAGGTTGCTGCGCAGCATACTGACGTAGTGAAACGTGTTGTCCAAAATTGACTGCTTGTTCTTCTTGGACTGTACACCGGCTTCATCAAGCAAGGACTTGAGCTGACTGATGCGGTCGTTAAGCTTGAACATTCGTTTCTTCTCCTTCATATTGAGCTCCTCACGTGAGCGCTTGGATCCCGAGTTTGAAGGTGTGGCACCACCAACGGAGCTGCCTGAATTGTAGTCAGTCGACACGTGCAGCATCTGCGCCGTCATGGGCGGCGGCGCGTAATACTGTCCAGGGTGTTGCATGTTCATCATAATCGGCTCGTGGTCAAAGTCTCCCTGCTGCTGGTGCGGCGTTTGCTGGTGCTGGGGCGTCTGCATATGATGCTGCGGCGTCATGATGTTCGAATGCACGAGCTGCTGGAAGTCGTGCATGTTTGGGCCGTGATAGCCGCCACCATTAACATTGTGGTCGATTGACGTGGCAAAAAGCTTTGGGCGCTCACCACTGTGCTGGAGGTGCTGAGGCTGAGACTGGTAGTGCGAGTAGCCGTAGTCGTTCTGAAGCATCTTTGGTCAAAAGTGGATGAAAGGGAGGATACCAAACGTTTAAACGAATCGAAGTTTTTGGTTGCTGAGGCTAGTGAGTGGGACTCGGCCAAATGGAAAATGACAATATGGTTGGCAGCAGATGGTGGAATGCAGGAAGAAGCGCGCGGCCCCATCGGTTTTTGCACTGGTGATCACTTTAAACAGGGGGCCGGCCTGGCCATCTTATCGCGAGACCTCTACAGACAAGAAAGTGGGGTTACTTTCTTGCGAGAGAGAGACTAGGGGCGACAGAGACAATCGTAGCCCTAAGTATAAGTGCGTATGGCCGTGATCGTTGCAGAGCCGATGTTACAATGTTTGCTAGGCGATTACCTGCTGGAGACACGGGTAATGCAAACGCACTAGGACTCTTATGAAAAAGAATAAGGAGAACAAACGTCTAGGCAAGGCCGTGCTACATTTTTTTTCAGATTCATAGAGCAAAGGTGGTGACTAGATTATCTTTCCCATCCTGTACGCAAGCTCCATCTCTTACCCATGCAAGCTCCAGCGAACGGCTCTCTTCAACATGAAGGTGCCGTTGGCGTGTAGTGCATTCGTTACCGTGGACACGTGGCCACAGCATTCGTTACGACGGCATTGCGGCCAGACCATCATTTGCGTGCCGTTTTTCGGCTTTCTATTTTTAGAGATCCGTTGCGCCAGCAGCCGTGTCGTTCTTCTGATGGCCAGCAACAGCTGCCGAAGACTACCAAAATCGACAATCCGCCTTTTCACAAACTGGTAAACACAAAGCAGGCGGTATGCCAGCACATGGAACCATTTTGGTGTAGGGGCATGAAGGCAGAGAGAGCTCGATATTTAGTATATATGGAAAATCTGCGCAAGGTTTGCTGACCAGTTTAGAGGACTAGTGATGCCTGCAGCTCCAATCTTGCAGGATGGCCCAGACACCGCGGCGCGCCTACGCCACGCACGTGCCCCATGTTGTTCTTGGCCATTGATAAAGAGAGCCTTTCAATCTTGACGACAGCTGCTTTCGGCGAGCTGCTGTTAGCGGCTCTGACCCATATGAGGCAACTGCTGCTTCAATTCGACTGACCGCATGCCGCTGATCGTCGTCACAACCATTCCCGATGTCTGCATAGAGCAGCCTGACGGTCATAACAGCAGGTTGTGTCATCCGCCAGACGATTACCATGCGTCCATCTTGGGCCACGTGAATGCGCTACTGACCCTTGCTAGATGTTAGCTCCGCATAGTCGCTCCCCTTATCGCACCAAGCAAGTGTGGATCTGTGCTGATTAGACCTCGCACTCGCGTAGTCGAATTGAGGCGTTTGAGCGAGTTTGTTGCTACAAATGGCCAACACGACAAATTCTTTGAAGTTGTCGAGTTTTCTGCTCGGATCTATCGCAATAAAGATGTAGTAGATGCTAGCACTACCGACTTTCAAGAGAGGAATTGCAGTGGTCACTAAAGCCTAAGGATCCTTCGAAGGCCTGCGGTGCATGATGGATTCGAATTTTGATTTCCAGAAATCTCTTCAAATAACGCGATGCTGCAAGTCTTGCGCGGCATCACGTCATTTAAAGAGATCTGGAAATCAAAATTCATCAATAAAGCTGGAGCTTGTCAACGATTTGCACACGATCCATCAGCTTGCTCAACAACCGTGTTCTGTTGTGTTGTCACGTCAGTGAATGTCGCCCATGTCTGCCTAATTCAAATCCTGCTGTTTGACATAAACGTACCCATTATGTCAAATTTACTTTTTGCAACTCAACGGCGCGAAAGTTGTAGGAACAGTCGATCAACGTCAACGACGAGCGTCCTGCTAGTCAAACGATGTTACCGGTACTGTACTCCAGCTTCTTTTCTTGCATGGGAATAACTGTACGTGAGCAGGTCTATTTTCCGTTTTATGGGGGTCAGAATCCTCTAATATATTAGATTACACCTAACTATAGAGTCATGACTGCTTGGAATCCTAGTATTCCTTTTTATGTTATAGGTACGTTTTTCGCTACGATGCAACAGCGTTGATTTTCTGTTCTCAATACCGGTAATTCATGCCCGTAAACAAGCGGAAAAAGGTAAAAATCCATCAATTGTTTGTCTTAGCAGTAGTAATCCACTTCTAACGCCTTTGTAACAGAATGAATGCACATCAAACCACGTCCCATGAGTACAGACTACGTATGTTGCATGAATGCGTTGTATGCTCGCATCACTCAGAACCGAAATCAAGACCAATCGAAATTTGGGCATAGAGTTAGGCGTAACACCATGATTGCAGATGACTCTATCGGCGAGTCGTAGTCGATGTGAAAATATCCTAAGCGATATAGCACGCGTGCTACACGAAATTTCACGCACGTCTAGTAAGTGAAATCATTCGTTAAAGTGCATGATTTATTGTATAAGTTCAATGTTGATACGGTGTGCCATTTTTTGGGCGAGCTTCGACATGTATATTGTTAGTGGATTCGTAATGTGATAGAGATCAGATTGTAAGACATGAATTTTACCGAATAAAAAATAAATTTCACTAGGTATCTCTTACCTTTCATTGCATTGATTATTTCTAGTATATTTCAGCCAATAATAATGAGCGATTTTTTAGATCGCTAAACCAGCGAATCTTGCTTGCCAATGGACGCATCTCGCCCTCTGCTGGCTGGAGATGCTGGTAACGATGAGGATCATATTATTCCCTCAACTGACTGTTTATTCAGATATCTATCGTCTTGTAATGGTGTATATGCTACCAACGGGAAGACGCAGAGCAATGGCCATGCACACGATCTGATGCCGTACTTCGTCCCTAGTAATGGCAAAGAAGATGAGGATTTGAACGAGGACAAGCTGCTGGTATGTTATCAGTCTTGTAGTCAATGGCCATGCTGGAAATGGGTATTTCCTGATCGCATTAGCGATTATGAGGACTTTGCCACGTCGGCGCAGATTGGGGAGATCTATTCACTGCGACAGACGGCCCGCGAGCAGTTTGATCCAATGTTGCCAGGTACTGCGAGACTAGTGAGTTGTGTGTCTGGAAAGACACAGATCTGACACGCAGCATCTTGTGAGCAGAGGATGACGATATGCTGCAGCATCTATGGAGCGGTTTGTTTCCAATGCTACCTTATGAAGGACGCGTTAACGTGCGCTGGCGAGACGTGGGTTTTCAAGTGCGTTGAATTAAGCACGGTCCCTCATTAATGCTTGATGTTGCGTATTGGAGAAGAGCTCGTGTTGATGCTCGTGTTTTTTCTCGCCACAGAATGATGATCCGGTGTCAGACCTTCGGACCTCCGGACGGCTGGCTATCCGGATGCTACTCTACTTTTCAGATCATCTGAACGATGAATTCAAGGTACACCAAGGGCTCAAACTCAATCTTTACTTGATGCTCGCTCACTGCTGTTCTTTTCAATATTTTGTTTTGGTGCTACAGCGTATGCTAAGGGAAAATCGTTTTCCCGTGTGCGTGTGCGCACTGAACTTGCTCGAGATGCTGTTGTGCCACTTAAAACTCAAGGAGCCACTACCACTTGTTTGTCCGTGTTGCGGCACGGAGAACGCCGATCTGGAGACATCACAGCAACCCAGTCGGACTCATCCAGAGCTGTGTGGTTTCACAGCATTAATGAGCGACGCGTCCTCACTCGCGTCAGCAGCTTTTTCTCATCGATTAGCGTGTGCAGAAGGCGGGCCTGCAGAGGTAGCTCTTGCGCATGTATTTGCCCACTCACTTTTAGTGATGGACGACGTATGGAAGCAACAGCTGCAGCGAAACCCGACCACGACGCTAATGTACTTCCGTGAAGCCCTTGTAGAGACTCGAACACGTATTGTGGTTTTCCTTTCTCGCCGATGCATCCCCCTTACGCTAGCAGAGCTTGATGTATGGGGCTATCGGCAGCTAGCACGGTGCCATAGTATTCGAGAGAATACGTAGCTTTGTTTTCATTTAGGTAACATATAAAGATAGCGCCCGACTCCCGTGCTGTTATCTCAAGACTTATTAATGTACGCTCCAGTCAATCGGTTCTTTACCATGCTCTTTGAGGTAGCTGTTGGCACGCGAAAAACACTTGGAACCCAGGAATGGCGCGTTGGTCTTGGTAGCGCCCAGCGGTGATGGATGTGAGGTACACACGACAAGGTGTCGTTTTGAATCGATCAGTGAGCCCTTCTCCTGTGCTGGTTTTCCCCACAGCAGAAAAACGACGTTAGAGGCGTCTTTACTAACCTTGGAAATGATAGCATCCGTAAACTGCTCCCAACCACGCTTCTTGTGGGAGTTGGGCTCGCCTCGACGCACTGTGAGCACCGTGTTAAGAAGTAGTACGCCCTGTCGACTCCAGCACGACAAGCAGCCGTGTAAGGGTCGAGTAATACCAACATCGCTCATCGCCTCTTTAAAGATGTTCTTGAGACTCGGTGGTGGTGGGATCCCGTGACCTACCGAGAAGCTTAATCCGTGTGCCTGCTGTGGTCCATGGTACGGATCCTGTCCCAGAATCACCACCTTAAGGTTGGAGAAAGCAAAGTCTCGCATTGCCGCGAACACGTCGGCCGGAGGTGGGTAAAGGGTCTTCTTTCGGTCTTCTTCGCTCTCTAGAAATGTCGTCAGTGCTTGAAATGAGCCGCGTGCGAGATCTTTTTGAAGCAACTCGAACCAAGAATGATGCATAATTAAGCGCAGCTTCGTTCTCTGCTGTAAGTCGGCAAAGCTTGTCACGGGGACCACCTCATCCTGACACTCTTTGTCTTTGTCATGGTCCTGCTCTTTGTTTTGGTTATGTTTCGAGATACTGGTCTTGACAGCAGACGTTTTATTAACTACATCGTCTTGCTTTGATATATCGGTCGTGTCTTTTTCTTTACTTGTACGACGCTTCTTGGCCGGGGGCGATACTCCTTCAAAAAATGAACGGATATCGCGTGTCGTCATTATCAATCGTCTTTGCGAGTCATGATATTTCCACCATCCTCTTTGAATACACCCTTTTAACATTGATCGTATCTATTTTACAGATTTGGTCCCTTATTCATTTAGACAAAAAGTGAAGTTAGTTATACCAAGCGTAGCGACTGTGACGGGGTGAGCTCGTTACATAATTGCCGCTAATATTTAGTAACGATATCTATAGCTATAACGATACTGCAAAAACTGTTGAAAAATATAGTCTAGCGACCGTGATGTTCTATTATATCGAAGGGCATAAAAGTTAAGACAGATATAAACATATTTTGTTCAATATCGCTCCCACGCCGCAACACCGATTCCTCCACCCCACCTTTCCCGACCTAAACTAATCGCCAGCCGTACATAAAGCCACTTCAAGTCCACAATGAAGGATAGTATTCGCATTGCACTCTGCAAACTGTTGGAGAGTAAACTGAACCGCGGAGTAGTGACCGGTTCGGCCGCCGGCTTTTTAGGGTGTGCAGTTTGAATGGTGCACGGACGTCAGTAAGATGACGAGGTAAGCAAGACATAGGAACACAAAAAGAAATCCTTATTCTTCCATGGCCTATTCTCAGCGTTTACAGGTTATGAGCCCAACAGAGAACGACATTGCCGCGGACGGAGCCTGCGAGCAGCCGAAGGTTACCGGTCTCGAAAGGACCGTTAGTGTAACAGGGCATCTAGTTCAAGTAAACATTAAGTAATATACTAAATGTTTGGTCTAAAAGTATCCATGATTACTTTTGACCTGTCACTTGGGTGCGATACACAAAGGTGATCCACCCTCGTGAATGTGATATCCATTTATGGATTCACATGAGAAGGGATGACGCTAGTTGAAGCTAGGCATCGCGACGTCTCAGAAAGACGTCAGTTGCGATCTTAAATCTAGATTTAAGTTCATGCGACAGGATACGCTTCTAAAGAGTCGCGTATCCGATCTATATACATATATAGCCAATCAGTAATTAAGTATATATTTAGTTATAATTAATTAAATATAGCTCAGTCTTGAATTTACTTAAACAAACGCACCACGCACGAGAAGTTGAGAAACTTCTGCGTGACGTCGGTGTTCTAAGTGTTAAGAAGTTCGTTGCACTCTCGCTTAAGCGAGAGGCAACTGGTGGTACGACTGCTTAAGCAATCGACCAACCTCCCAACCACCCTTGCACGCGAAGGTAAGACGGTCTAACCGCTTCCTCGCTTGTGCATAAGGTGTGTGCTCGTAGTACGAGGCAACTTCGTAGAAGTGCCCGTCTACAGATAGCCCGTACGGGGAGAAGGACGAAGTCAAGGAGGGAGAGGGGCCGGGAGACAAGCAGTAAAAGCTGCTGAATCTTCTTAAGGGACTCACAGAGCGCATGGAGCGCCTCGAGACATCGCAGGAGCGAAAAAAAGAGAAGGAGCGGCTCAAGGAACATGAGGTCAGCGTGTTTGGCTCGTCGTTAGGTCTGGGACAGGCTATGCGTCGCCAAGCCCTTGACATGACTCCACCAGCGAATAAATCACCAGCACCCTCACCGACCACGTACTTTGGTATGAGGCAACCTAATTACGTCAACGCTGCAGCAAATGTCGAGATGGCGCAGGCGCCACAGCAGACGCTGCCACAGAATTGTATCGACCAGTGCCACAGCAGCAGATGCATCCACCGGACCCACACCTGGCCCGAGTGCCGGACACACGCCAGCGTAAGCTCGGAATTAGGCCATTTGACGGCAAAAGAGCTCTATTTAAGGACTGGAAAGTTGGTTTTTGTCATAAGGAAAGCGTTTTGTGCGACAAATACATTTTGCTGAGAGGGCAAGCGGTTTCCGTGGACCAAGGACGTCAAAGTCGACATTTTGGGCCATCACCTGAGCGGTATGGCAGAAAGGTACTACAATCGGCAGGTGGAAGGTTGGTGGGAAGAGCAGCTGACTCTGGAGCACGCTATTCAGCGGCTGCTGCACACGTCGCCACGAAGATTACGCCGGACCAGATCATGACAAGGTTTACTGCTCTTAAGAGCTTGAAGAGAAGCTGGACGGACCTTTACCTGTACCTGGTGGCTGTGAGTGAGGCGTGCGGCGGTGCAGACAATTTGTTCCAGGACAACATAGTACACTATGCAGATCCTAATATGAGAGTGTAAATGCCATAGAGGTTGAATCTAGCACGCACTGATTACCTGCGCCAGGCCGAATAATTGGCTTACTTCGCATAGTCAACAGAAATTGAATTGCGAGGTAAACAATTGGGTAAAGACGTTGTAAATAACGTCGAGAACGTGGCTCGAGACACAAGTAAAAGTTTTAAATGCGGAAAAGCTGGGTACCTGAAGGCAGCGTGCACCAGCAGCAAGAAGAAGTGGAATGGGGACGCCGATTTCGTGCTGACTATTAAGGAGTCAGGCCTGGATTATGGTCTGTGTATTTTGGACAGCGGCTCAAGCCGGCACTTGGTAAATGATGTGGGCCTGCTTGAAGACGCGAAGGATTTCGCGAGCGAGTGTATCGCTGCTGACGGAGGGTCTTTGAAGATCAGTAAGCGAGGAAGCTTATTGAATAAAACAACAGTTCGGGGACAGGTGAGGCTGCTGAACGTGCAATACGCATAAAACCTTGAGAAAAACATCATTTCTTATGGTCTCTTAGAGGCAAAAGGGCACGGGATTGCGTACAGTGTTTGTCACCGTGTAGTTGCGGCTATGGACGGTGAACCGGCGGTCTTCGACGTGATGAAGTCGAAAAATGTGTTAGCTGTGCGTGCGTGCGGACACAGCCACACGGGGAAAGCGGGTGACATACTGATTTCGGTTAGTCAATACGAGCAGGAGGTTAAAGAAGACGTGCAAAGAGGATCTCACATGCATTTTCACCGTAGGCTCGGGCATTTGCATTATGACACGATACTGCAGATGGCAAAGAACCCAGCGTCCGGGATCGCCCTCACGGACGAGGTGTGAGCGAACTTTTTGACCTGTGTGCAGGGGATACAGACAAAAAAACCTCAGTCACGCAAAGATACTGGAGAAAAATCGCCTATTGACGTAATTGGTGGGGTGATTTGCTCAGATCTGAAGGGGCCAATGACGTCTAGAGATCGTTAGGGGAACAGGTACATGGTTAACTTCATCGACCATCGCACTAATTATTGCAGAGTGTTTCTGGCCAAAACGAAAGATATCGCGACTCAGATATTTAAACACTTGAAGGCCTTCTTAAAAGACAGTTTAAGTGTCGCATTCACGTGTTGCAAACCGATGGAGGAGGCAAATACCAGACTCTTGATCGTTTCTGCAAGGAGACGGAAATAGCCAGGCAAATCAGCGAATTCAGAAACC